CCCAAGTAACCTACATACCAAGTATCAAAGCAATTGAGCTAGTAGTTTTCAAGCAGAAGTCAAAAATGTAATTGTTGACGACAGACAATCACCTATGTAAGCAGCTCTGCTCTTGCATGTAAGAAGACAGCAGAGCTAAACATGACATAAACATGCCCAAAATAGGAGAAATAAAGGTATGGCAAATTGAACAAATCTAACAGAGGTCTACCAAAGGTACATGTACCCTGGGGTACACCAATTATCAAAGCAATCAGACTTGTAGTTTTCAAGAAGTCGAAAAAGTAAAGTTGACGAAGATGCCAGCAACTTGTATAATGAGCTCTGCTTGACCAAGTCAACAGTGGAGGTAAAAAAGTCTGATATATTGGCATACAATCTACAGCAAATAGTTACTGTAGAATACTTAATTTTAGTTGGAATTAATTTTCGCTGAAAAGGCATTTTATATAGAATTTATTTTCACTGATTTTTGACGAGTTAAATGTAAAATATAGGAAAAAAGGTATATTAGCTGGATTTTATTTTCACAATCATTCCTTCAGCGAAAATCAAGTATTTTACAGTATTTCTCATGACGAAGGCAGCTATACAGTCATATGACACAGAACTTGTGATTTTCCATAACAGTGAATTCAGAAATACTGTGTTTACAAACAACAAAACACCAAACTTGAGTGAAATTTAACGAGATGGCAAAATAACTGACAAAGTTAGAAATTGAACTGAAAATTTGGATTGTGTGTGTTTGAATCTTTAAATAAGAACCAAATTGAACAGGGGCTCTGTAAGGTAGAGTTCTGTAATGAACGAGGACACATGGTTTCAATAATCATCAGTACACAGCATTTTAAAATGATAATACGAGTATATGTTTTCTGTCATTTTATTACATAGTTACACTTGTAAAACTGTTATTCTATGTTCAACATGGTAGACATAAAGCAAGCAAACACACATACATACATACATATCTTCACTATCAGTTCTATAATTCAGAATCTCGCTACAAATACATACCAAAGGCTGACGAAAACAATACAATTTATGGTAAAACGAAGGAAATTTGTCGACATTACTAAACTGAAACTGCACAAAAGAAAGTTATCCAAAGACACTGGAATATCATTTTTTATATGTCATTTGTACAATAATCTTGACATCAAAGCTTTTCAGTTTTACCAATTTAACAGAAGATACTTGCAATCTAAAATCAATCACATACGGTAGTACATTAGAAAGCTATTCTTCTCAAATGATAAACATCTCCAAATAAATATTGTGACATATAAATTCATATCACAGGATGACTTTTTACCTACTAGTCTCTTAATTTAAATTTGGTTACATGGCTTATGAATGTCTTTATACTAATCCAACACTGCCTGTCACACAGCCATCAATGTAGATTTCTGTTAACAGCATTCACTTGGCTTCAACAGACTTTAAAACCAGTATCTAGTAACTGTATTTGCTCTATTATAATTACGGTAAGCACATGTACAGTTGTTTTGTTGAAAGGTTAGTTTATTAGGCCAAAAAAAAAGTGTTTTGTTGCCCTCAGCGACCGACTGAAAAATATGAAATATCGGGTCGCATTTTTTCCTTCATATACCTCTGCTATTTATGATACCCTTAGTTTTCACGAGTATAAAAAAAAAAAATCCGACCGACTGACCCAATTTTTCAATTTTCAAGTTTTTTTTTT